AAAAATTTGGTTAGTAAGGATAGCATTAAATTTGAAGTTCACACCTCAAATGAATGGGATGACAGAGGGGCAAGTTAACACCTTGGCTGCTCTTAGTACTGGGTGGAAGGCAGAAGACGGCATTAAATGATTTACATTGGAAATTATCCCAGTTCCCTTATGTGCTTCACCAAAGGATTCTGCATGTTCCCTGCAGAACATGTTCATATGTATTTTTTCAACCATTTCTAATTTTATTTTAAAAGTTTGCTCAAAATTCCCACAGAGAATGGAAGCCACTTAAGGACTAGCCATATATTAAGTTCACATCTTTTATGATCAACTATATTTGAATTAATGATGAACAAAAAGGAAAACAGTTTAAAAATCCATTTTCCTACTCTTTCATAACTCAGAAGTGTCTCAAGTTTAAAAATAATAACTTCTGAACTGAGAACAAGCAGGAAAATGTCATCCTCAAAGGAGATTTGCAGATGTTATGTACAGTCACCTTCCCTGGAGATGTTCAAAAGATGACTGGACGCCCACCTCGCTGGGGTCATCTGACCTCAGCAGTCTTTCCTGCCTTAGAGCAGTGGGGCTGGACTTGATGATCTTGTGAGCTCCCTTCCGGCCCCTAACTTCTATGAACAAGTTAAAAATGATGGGATAACAGACCTATAGTACTTTCTACCAAAACTAGTGCAAAGGTACTGTTTCAACTTACCTTTTCAATTAGAAGTTTCTTGCTCATTGAAATGCATTTGTTTAATCTTTCTTTGTATTTTTCAAGTAACTTTTGTTGCTCATCTATTTGCCTTCTAAGATCACAGTTAGCCTAAGAAACATACCAAATGAAACTTTAAAACATTTTAAATCTTTCTGGTGTAAATATTAAAAATAAAATATGTAACTTATTAAAATGTACATTATGCTTGACATTAAACTAGAATATGAAAAGCACATTAACATTTACATAAGCAAAAACAATTAATTGTTGGTGCATAGATCTATTCAAATCTCTAGTGATGGCTTTATTTGCCTTTTTTTTTTTAGTTCCTCAAGTTCATAATTCCCAAAAGCTGCACACCAGAATATTGGCTACCATACATATTATATTCTATTTTAGAGGACATTTTGCATGTAATTTAATACATTAGCCTTTTCTACACTTTCATGATAAAATAGAAGTTTCAATTCTAGCTCCAGTGCCTTTTCACAAAGAGTTTCAGCAATTAAATGGAAACACAGTAATCTCTTTCATATTTCATAATAAAATAAAAATTCAGGCTGTGACAAAAGTTCTGGATATCTTCGCAAAAAGCTAATAATAGTTTAAAATGTTGATAGTCATATCCGATTTCAAACCTCTGAGGTAAAAATTATTCTAACTGTAACACAATGGCATTTTTTAAATATTATATTTATTACCGTTATACAACTGAATGTAAAAATAAAAAATATTGTATATGTAAATATATGTATTGGGGATAAACACAAGAAACTGATGAAAGTTATGTTAAAGTCTGCTTTACTCATCATCTTTAAAATTTTATTTTTCTGTTCTCCTTGGATGTCTCCTTTTGTTCACATCATTAATCTACATCAGTTAAGCTCATTTCTTCATCCCAAACCCTGGAGCTTAACCATACAACTCCTTTGTTTCAATACTTTCCAGTGTACTTTACTATTTTTTTGATTAAGGGCAGCCATTTTGTTCCCAAACAGTTATCACAAGTACCCTAGAAATATACACAGTAATACTTTTGCTATTGACAAGTGCTGTGCTTTACGTTTAAATCAGGAACTCTATCATATGAAAATATAACAGAAACAAGTCAAATTTATTAACACACTGTAAATACAATATTAACCTCTCTCTCAAAGCCTCAAAAAGTCTGTAATCACATGCAATAATTGGCAATGACAAAAAGCATTTTTTTAAATATTGAAGCAAGAAAAAAAATTTCTTTGGTTATCAGAACGTGCTCTCTCAGAAAAAAGTATCGATTCACATTGAGTATTTATATTTTTATATAGATATAGCTCCAACAACTGCTTTTTAAGATAAAGCTTTTCTTTAGCATTTAACACTTACCCTGAGCAAGTCATCTATACGACCTTCTTTCTTTTCCAAGTCTTGATTTTTATTACTTTCTAGTGCAGCTAATTTCAGCATTGTGAGATCAGTCTAAACAAAAACAGGTTCCAGTATTTAAATCAATTGTTCAATATTTAAAACACGATTTTCTTAATTTTCATTGTACAATATTATTTTACTTTATTAATTATGATTTGTCTTTATCTTTTAATAGGCTCAGTTGAGTAGAGTTGGGATGAGACACCTAAATTGATAATAGATTCCTTCATTTACTCAAAGCCAATCTGCTAAAGAACAACCTGTTTTGTTCATTAGGAGTGAACACACAGATGGAAAAAAAAAGTATGTCCCACTGAGCATACCCTTGGTAAAACAACTCAGAAAGACAGAGGGTCACAGGATTTAGTTGGATGTGCCAGACCAAATGCTCTTGCAGTGGTAAAAAGGTAAAAGAGGATTGTCACTGGTAATTAGCTTTGATTTTTTAGGTTTGAGAGGCTGTGACCTCACTCGCTCATCATTTTAATTACCATCTTCTTTTTCGCCTCCCAGTTTGCTTCAGAATTTTGATATGACTACAGCCATTTCATTTACTGACTCAGATAGAAAACGTTGCGTCTATGATCACATAACAGAAATCTGAGCAAGGCATGAAGCATTCATCTGTAAACATTAGTGGCTCATGAGATGCTTTGGTGGAAGAAAAAGTGAATGTACAACACTGAAATCTGAATGACTATAAACAGAGACCTAAATCTTTTAGCAAACCTCTAAAAATGCTTTCAGAACCTGTACATTTCCTAGAGTGTGGTCCTGAATCAGGTACCAAACAGGGAAACAGTCACTGCTCAATGTTTTCACATATACTCAAAATGATATGAGAGATTTCTACTCAAAAGCGCTTACCTGAGTAACTTTAAATGATAACTGCTTTGGTTGCGTAACAGGGTGGTCCCCAAAAGCTAATGAAGTAGGAGAAGGACTATTTTGTCGAACCTAAACCATGAATAAACAACAGAGATCAGCTGCAAATTAAAATATTCAAATTACAAGATTAACACAAATTGTATAAAGATTACAAAAAGCTGAAAAATATCTACCCGACTCCTTCCTTATTATTTAGTAGTTTTAGTTAGAAGAGTAAAATACATATCAAAGACATGAAGATAAAGTATAGACAGCTCTTTTATCTAGGGTATAAAGTTTATAAAGATCTTGTTAGTCTTCACTTAAAATATTGTATCTAATACCGATTGATGTTTCATTAAACATCACATATATTGGAGATAGCGCAACACATCCTCCAGTTAAGGGTGACTGTCCAAATCTCTTTCACTGGAGGCTTTCAAGAGGCTAGATAATCACTGGGCAGGGATACATATCACAAGAGGAACAGACTAAAAAGTGCTGAAATACAGTCACAACTACATATAAATGTATGTTGATACCCAAGTTTTTTCTATTGACTACAGATTTTAAATGGGATAAACACACCTCATTTAATAACTCTCATATACCAAGTCTAACAACCTTGCTGGTAAGCAATCGGTATAACAACTTGCAACCTTTCCCAATGTCCCTCAAGTAGCTTTTGTTTTGAGAATAAGGTTTGTCAATTTGAAAATAACTAAGATGGGTTTCCCTTTATTTTTGGAGATCCTCTTTGCCATTAGTAGGCTCAAAACAAGGGAAGCTGTTGTATATTATGGATCCAGATATACAACACCTTAGTCTGAAACTTCTAAGAAAAAAAAAACCCAGGAAAGAAGGAAGAAATTTTAGCCAGATCCAAAGGTTCCCTGATGCTCTGTTGCTCAGAACATAAAGCAATTGTAGACTAATTCCAAACAAGTTACCATTCAGAAGAAAACAGAGGTTTTTTGGTGTAGTTGTGTGTAAAGTGTAGAGTTTTTTTGTGGGTTTTTTTGCATTAAACCCTTTCTGTGATGGACAGAATGGGTCCTGCCATCTGGAATTACGCAAGGACAAACTCAATACTGGAATCACAAGATACTAGATGAAGAAAACCTATTTCTTTTCAAATTATATCCCAAATTGTGCATTTCAAACATTAGTAGTAAATACTAACTCTTACTATATATTAAACCAAAAAATCTATGTAATCAGCAACTGTAATTATAAACAGATCTGGAAGAAAAGTTTTGTTTGGGCATATGCAAACAGACATTATGCCTTGCTTTTCAAATTCCTTAGGGTGGGGAGGGACGGGACAGGGATGGTGAATGTGTTTTAAAATTAATTATGTAGAAATCAAACCACTACCACATATATCCACACCATACAGTCATTTACACAAAAGTTTACATTACAGGAATAAACAAGGACATATTTTAGCCACTTAAAAAGGAGAAGGGGGAGCTGCTACTCAGAAATGCACATCAGCTGTCGCTGCTACATCAGCATGATGCTTCAGCCATAGAAGTTAGCTAAATGGTGCTAACTTTGACCCTGAATGAAACAGTGATGGAGCAATTTGGCCCCATTTGTAGCACTACAGAATCATGCAGACATAACAGTTGCATCATAAGCAGCTTCTATTTAGTATCTTTTGGTATCAGTACAATTGTTACATCTGCCTGTACGGCCAACATTATTTTGAGCTTCCATTTAGACTTTAAGGCTAAGTAGAGACATTTGGGGATGTTAGGGACAGGTTAAATTGATCCTAGACGGCTACCTGATATCAGGTAAGTCAGGATTGGGGCGGAGGCATGAGAAGGCAGGGCTGGCATGACCCACTGGGGGGAGGTCCCCTCCCAGTAAACCTACACCCCCACCAGGACTTACTTGCTCAGCTCCAGCAGCAATTAACACTGATAAAAGCGGCTGCACCCAGAATGGCTTGTGGGATGGGGGCTGAGAGGGCTGGCTAGTCGGGGGAAGGAATGAAAAGAGCAGCCAGGGCTGCGCAGGGAAAGTGTAAGTGTACAGAAGTTCCATATACTGGTTTGATTTAAATCAAATAAATTTGACACTACATAGGCCAGGAGAAGCCCAGATCGCCTAATGAAGGACTACCAAGCTTTTGGGGGGCAAGCTGAAGGAGACAGGGGCACAGGTGGTCTTCTCATCTGTCGTTCCGGTGAGCGGACGTGGATAACACCATGAGACCTGCATCAGGGAGGTCAACTTGCAGCTTTGGAAATGGTGTCTCAAGCTGGGCTTCAGTTTTTTGGACCGCAACCCATACTTCAGAACAAGAGACATGCTCAGGTGGGATGGGCTTCACCTCTCCCCCAAAAGGTAAGTGTGTTCTCTTTCAGGTTGGTTGATCTCCTCCAACGGGCTTTAAACTAGGCTCATCGGGGAAAGGAGAGGATGAGTACGGAGGGAGCCACAGAACACTGAACCAAGAGACACTCACAAGAACAGCCCAGCCAAGACAAGCGACGAGCACAAGAAGTACCCAGGTAAGAGACAGGGGCCAGGATAGTCCTGGGGGGGCGGGGGGTGCATACACCCTCAGGAGGCCTTAAATGCGTCTGCACTAATGCTCGTAGTATGGGGAACAAACAGGAGGAACTTGCCCTCCTGCTAGCTAACACAAACCCAGACATAGTGGGGCTCACTGGGATCCAATGCATGACTAGGTGACAAACCTCAAGGGCTACAGGCTGTGCAGGCAGGATAGAACAGGGAGGAAAGGTGGGGGTGTGGTGCTCTACGTCAAAGAGCATTACACATCCACGGCAAACAGCACTGGGTCAGAGGAGGGGCATACTGAAGTGCTCTGGGTCAGAATACAAGGGAGTCGGGGGGGAGGGACTTAACGGTGGGGGTCTATTACAGGCCACCCAACCAGGGGGAAGAGCTGGACAGGGAATTCTCAGGTCAGCTTGCGAAGGCAGTTAAGTCAAGGGACGTGGTCATCATGGGTCACCTAGACTATCCGGACATTTGCTGGAAAGAGCAGTCAGCCAGGTCTGACCGCTCACGTAGGTTCCTAGTTGAGTTACAGGACCTCCATCTAACCCAGGAGGTACACAGTCCCCCCAAGGGAAATGCCTTGTTGGACCTGGTCCTGGCCACAGGCAATGATATGGTGAGGGGACGGCAAGTTCTCAACCACCTGGGCGATAGTGATCATTGCCTGCTGGAATTCACCATCCAGTGCAGGGTGGCAAAGGCCTGCAGCAAGGCAGCAGCCCTGGACTTCAGGAGGGCGGATTTCAATGATGTAAGGAGACTAGTCGGAGGCACTGAAGTCCTGGAGAGAAGGGGAGTTGGGAGTCTAAGACAAGTGGTCATTCCTCAAGGAGACAATCCTCCAAGCTCAAAGGATGACAATCTCAACGTGGATCAAAGGGGGCAGGAGTGCTCAAAAGCCCCCATGGCTCACCAAAAGCATCCAGAGAAATCTCAAAGCTAAAAAGGAGGCATACACCCAATGGAAGGGAGGGGCCATCACCAAGGAGGATTATACCTCCATTGCTTGAGATTGTAGGGGGGCTGTTAGGAAGGCTAAGGCAGACACGGAACTCGGACTAGTGAGTGGATCAAAGATAACAACAAGTCCTTTATTAAATACATAGTAGGTAAAAAGAAGGTACCAGGTAACGTGGGGCCTCTGCAGGACACGCTTGGGAATGTGGTGGTTGCACCAGATGACAAAGCTAACCTCTTTAACAAATTCTTTGCCCCCATTTTTCTGAGCAGGGACCGGGACATCCCCACCACTGGGATCCCAGACAGACCCAGGGTCAGGGAGGACCTAGTCAGGGAACTTCTGGTGGGACTACAAGTGTTCAAAATCAGCAGGTCCTGAGCTCGTAGTATGGGGAACAAACAGGAGGAACTTGCCCTCCTGCTAGCTAACACAAACCCAGACATAGTGGGGCTCACTGGGATCCAATGCATGACTAGGTGACAAACCTCAAGGGCTACAGGCTGTGCAGGCAGGATAGAACAGGGAGGAAAGGTGGGGGTGTGGTGCTCTACGTCAAAGAGCATTACACATCCACGGCAAACAGCACTGGGTCAGAGGAGGGGCATACTGAAGTGCTCTGGGTCAGAATACAAGGGAGTCGGGGGGGAGGGACTTAACGGTGGGGGTCTATTACAGGCCACCCAACCAGGGGGAAGAGCTGGACAGGGAATTCTCAGGTCAGCTTGCGAAGGCAGTTAAGTCAAGGGACGTGGTCATCATGGGTCACCTAGACTATCCGGACATTTGCTGGAAAGAGCAGTCAGCCAGGTCTGACCGCTCACGTAGGTTCCTAGTTGAGTTACAGGACCTCCATCTAACCCAGGAGGTACACAGTCCCCCCAAGGGAAATGCCTTGTTGGACCTGGTCCTGGCCACAGGCAATGATATGGTGAGGGGACGGCAAGTTCTCAACCACCTGGGCGATAGTGATCATTGCCTGCTGGAATTCACCATCCAGTGCAGGGTGGCAAAGGCCTGCAGCAAGGCAGCAGCCCTGGACTTCAGGAGGGCGGATTTCAATGAGGTAAGGAGACTAGTCGGAGGCACTGAAGTCCTGGAGAGAAGGGGAGTTGGGAGTCTAAGACAAGTGGTCATTCCTCAAGGAGACAATCCTCCAAGCTCAAAGGATGACAATCTCAACGTGGATCAAAGGGGGCAGGAGTGCTCAAAAGCCCCCATGGCTCACCAAAAGCATCCAGAGAAATCTCAAAGCTAAAAAGGAGGCATACACCCAATGGAAGGGAGGGGCCATCACCAAGGAGGATTATACCTCCATTGCTTGAGATTGTAGGGGGGCTGTTAGGAAGGCTAAGGCAGACACGGAACTCGGACTAGTGAGTGGATCAAAGATAACAACAAGTCCTTTATTAAATACATAGTAGGTAAAAAGAAGGTACCAGGTAACGTGGGGCCTCTGCAGGACACGCTTGGGAATGTGGTGGTTGCACCAGATGACAAAGCTAACCTCTTTAACAAATTCTTTGCCCCCATTTTTCTGAGCAGGGACCGGGACATCCCCACCACTGGGATCCCAGACAGACCCAGGGTCAGGGAGGACCTAGTCAGGGAACTTCTGGTGGGACTACAAGTGTTCAAATCAGCAGATCCTGACGATCTCCACCCCAGGGTGCTGAGGGAATCAGCAGAGGTCATTGTGGGACCCTTGGCACAGCTTTATGAGCACTCGTGGTGCTCTGCCGAAGTGCCAGAGGACTGGAAAAGGGCCAATGTGGTTCCCATTTTCAAAAAAGGGAGAAAAGAGGATTGGTCTTGGAAAAGCTCTTTGAGAAAATTATCCAGGTGCACATCTGCGATGGACTAGAAGGGGAGATTATGCTTACGGGTAATCAACATGGGTTCATTAGAGGCAGGTTCTATCAGACCAACCTGGTTGCCTTCTATGACCAGGTCACAGAATCCTTGGACACAGGTGTCGCAGTGGATGTAATCTTTCTGGACTTTAAGAAGGCCTTCGACCCTGTCTCTCACCCCATTCTCACTAAAAAATTAGGCGACTGTTGTGTCAACGCCCACACAGTCAGATGGGTCACAAATTGGCTGGAGGGTCGCACCCAGAGAGTGGTGGTAGACGGGTCATTTTCAACTTGGAGGGATGTGGGCAGTGGGGTTCCACAGGGCTCGGTCCTCAGGCCTGCACTGTTCAACATCATCAGCGACTTGGATGAGGGGGTGAAAAGCACTTTGTTCAAAATTGCGGTTGACACTAAGATGTGGGGAGAAATGGGCATGCTAGAAGAGAGGGACAGGCTACAACTAGATCTGGAAAGGTTACAGAGGTGGGCGGATGAGAATAGGATGGGTTTCAATACTGACAAGTGCAAGGTACTGCACCTGGCGAGGAAGAGCCGGCAGCATAACTACAGGCTGGGGAACTCCCTTCTCATCAGTGCAGAGGCAGAAAAGGATCTTGGAGTCATTACTGATTCCAAGATGAACGTGGGCCACCAATGTGGGGACATGGTCAGGAAGGCTAACCGCACCTTGTCCTGCATCCACAGATGCATCATGAGTAGGCCCAGGGAGATGATCCTCCCCCTCTATGTGAAATTGATCAGGCCGCAGTTGGAGTACTGTGTCCGGTTCTGGGTGCCGCACTTCAAGAGGGATGTGGACAGCACTGAGAAGGTCCAGAGTAGGGCCATTCACATGATCAGGGGCAGCAGGGCAGACCCTGTGAGGAGAGGCTATGGGACCTGAACCTGTTCAGCCTCCACAAGAGAAGGTTGAGAGGGGATCTGGTGGCTGTCTATAAACTTGCCAAGGGGGACCAGCAGGCAATGGGAGAGTCCCTGTTCCCCCGACCACTACCGGGAGTAATAAGGAATAACAGCCAAAAGTTGACTGAGAGTAGATTCAAGCTAGTCATCAGGAGGCACTAATTCACAGTCAGGGCGGCTAGGACCTGGAACCAACTTCCAAGGGAAGTGGTGCCCGCTCCTACCCTGTGGGTCTTCAAAAGGAGGCTACATAAATCACCTAGCCAGGGTCATTTGAACACAGCATTCTTTCCTGCCCAAGACAGGGGGTCAGATTTGATGATCTGCTCAAGTCCCTACCGACCCTACTAACTATGAAACTGGGTTCATCTTAAACCGGGTTCTGCAATTTTTAGACTAGTTTGCGTGCATGGCACTTCTGTACAGTTACAGTTTTAGACTGATTGCCAGTCACCGAGACTGGGTCTGTAAGTGTAAGGCTGCCACTGAGATGAGCTAAGTTTAAATTGGGCAGCCATTTTGAACCTGATTTAAGCTCCCCAAATGTCTGTACTTAGCCTAACAGTGGCATTTCAGGACAATAATACTAATTTTTAAAACTAAAATTTTTGGAACATACTTGCTAAAATTTGAACTTAATTACTTGTTTTCTTTTGTTAAAAAGAACAGATTTTGTCCTTAAAAGTTCTTGAAAAGTCCACAATATAGTGGGAAAGATTTATTAGCAGGCACTTATCAATGTAGGTTACTTCCAGTAAATAAGAACTTTTGTACTGCATGCTGAAAACGAAGAGATTTGTAGAGGTCAAACTTACAGAAGAGGGGGCGGAATGTGAATGTGAATTCTGAGGAGAACGGATTGCAGGAGGAATGCCTCTTACTGGACTGGAGCCATTCCCCCCTTGGTACTGAGAAAGAAATATGTTAGAGTTAGTGAATATCCTTAACAAAGTACGTAAACATACTTAACAAATGATATAATTTAGACAAATATAACACTTGTAACTTAAACTGTGTAGGTCGAAAATAATGGACTTTTACAGAAAGTAATAAAATGTGTTGTTTATTTGTATTACTAAACATAAGAAGTTAGGAGCAAGTGTAGGAAAACTATTCTACATATACTTTTTATTTATAACTGAAGGTTTTTTCAAAGCATCTTCTGAAGTGCACGAGAAAGCTAAACATTTTAAAACTATCCATTCCTTCCCTGTTTTGACTCCAGCAAGGTCAAGAGAACATCCCACTGTTCATTTTAGATCTCATAAATAGAATTTTGTATTATTTTATAGATCATCATAAATATTCCCTCAAAGACCAAATCCCCATCCATTCTAGTAATCATCAGACACATTAAAAAATTGCAAGCACACAGTATTGTCAAGACTTGAATGTTTGACATAAATAAAGGCAGGTTACTGAATATAGTCTTCAGCCTTTATAGTTATCATTCTTACATTTATGTTTGCAGGTTTATTAACTTAATATGGTATTGTCTACTGTTGTTTGCAACATTACAGAAATAAAGCACAAAACTTACTTCAAAATAGTCACTAATTTTGTGACCACGTCCCCCAATATTTTTTCCTGAAATTTAGAAGGGGAAAAAGAGAGAGAGAGAGATTAAATGACAACATACAGTGCTGTAATTACCACACAACTGAATAATGCACATAATCTCTATTAGGCAATTAAATATGATTAATCCTTTTTAAAAAAAACCAAATGTGTAACTAGGCACAGAGGTTCTGACCTATTCAATGCACGTAAAAAGCCTCAAGAAAAGAAGTCAGAAATATAATCAGTTCTCCTGGCTCCCAGTCCAGTACCTTTGCAACAAGTCCATCCCCTTTTAGACTAGTGCATCTGATCCTGACAGGCCTGAAATTTGGTTCCAAGAGCCTCCCCTCTCCAGATTCCCTAGCCAACGATTTCATAGTATGTCAAATAAACTAGTTAGCCTACACTATGTTCCTTCTGAGAGGAATTTTGGGAGAGAGATCAGATTATGAATCTGCCTGAGTGGGCAAAAACAATGAGAATGATAAGCATGACTAGCAATACCAACCTCAGAACAAAACGAAAAATAAATTAACCAGCAACCCTCAGGGGGTTGTGACATGGGAAAAAGAAAAAAAATGGAGTAATGGTCTGAACAGAGGGGAAGAAGGAATATTATTTAACTGAACAGATGGTATTGCTTTCTCCTTTTAAGTCAGCGTACATTTGCAAGCCACAGTGAAATTCAAATTATGGCACTCAAGCCCATACCAGAAGTGGGGTCATGAGTCTGGATGTGCTGTCGTCCATGCAAAAAAGGTACGTTAAATAATAACTGCAGAAAACCACAGGCTATGAAGAGAGACCGTCTGGAGCAGGCACATGGTTCACTGTCATACACATACATATAAGTACCAGAGGATCTCTTTTCCACCTTGGTAAGAGAACAGAAGCTGGGGAAGAAACTCTCCTTATAAAAGGTGAATAGATGAAACTACTTTAATAAGGAAGCAGAGAAAAGTACAAATTATAAAGTTCTCCTTAGGGAACAAAGTAGTATTGATTGCAAACAAATGCTAAAAATTCTGTCCCAAACTGTTGACTGCTACAAAAGAACACTCTCAAAGAAAGTATGTTGAGAGGCACCAAAGCAGAGAGCATCACCGATTTCTCCAAAGACACTTTAAGACATGGGCCTAAATAAGCCCTAAGACATGCCTCACTATTTTTTTTTAACCTGCAATGGAAGCTACAGCAGTCTAACACATGGAAGCTACAGCAGTGAAGGGTAAGAGAAGACACCTGGAAGAAGCCTCATAGCTCTTTTCCTCTACTGTTCTGGACATTTTAGATAGTTCTAGTGGGAGAGCTCTGATGGGAACAGAAGCCCTTCTTAAAAAAAAAAAAAGGGGGGGGGGCAAAAAAGGAGGACCCAGGGAATTACAGACCAGTTAGCCTCACACCTCAATACCTGGGAAGTTATTGGAGCATATCCTAAGAAAGACATTTGCAAGCACCTGGTGGATCACAAGGAGCCGGCATGGATTTATTATGAAAAACAAATGTCAATAAAACAATCTTCTTTGACAAAGTAAGTACTTGGGTGGATGAAGGGAATACTGTGGATACAGTGCATCTGGACTGCATCAAAGCATTTGACAACATCCCACATGACCTTCTCATAAACAAATTGGAGAAATGTGGGTTGGATAAAACTACTGGTGAAGAGATAACTGGCTCAATATCTAAAAGCAAAGAGTAATTATTAATGGGTCTATATCAGAATGGCAGGAGGTTTTGAGGGGAATCCCACAGGCTCTGTTCTGGGCCTGGTGCTGATCAACATGTTTATTAACGATTTGGATGCTGGCATAGAAAGCTTCTTGAGCAAGTCTGCAAGCAACATGAAGCTGGGAAGGACTGCGAAGACTAGAGGATGTGAGCACAATTCAGAAGGTTCTCAAGACAGATTGGAAAGCTGGGCTAGAGCTAACAGGATGAAGTTCAATGTGGACAAATACAAGCTGTTACACCTCAGAAAAAATCATTAAAAACATTAATATAAAAGAGGTGACGACACCTAACTGGATGACGGCACTACAGAAAAGGATCTGTGAGTCTTGGTAGATCACAGACTCAATACAAGTCTGCAGTCACACAAAAGTCAAATGTGGTTTTGGTCTGCAACAATAGTAGCATTCGGTGTAAGACACTGGAGGTGACAGTCTCTCTACTCAGCACGGGTTAGGTCTCATCTGAAATATTTTTGCAGTTCTGGGCTCCACATTTTAAAAAGGACGTGGAAAAGTAAAAGAGGGTACAGAGGTGGGGAAAGATGATAAAGAACTTGGAATGAAAGTTATAGGAGGAGAGGCTGAAGGAGCTAGGCATGTTCAGCTTCCAGAAAAGTTGCTTAAGGGACATGATAGCAGTCTTCAAACACCTGAAGGGCTGCCAGGAACAGGGAAAGCATCTTTTTTCTCTTGCTGCAGAGAGGAGGATGTGGACCAATAGCTTGAAGTTGCAGCAAAGTACATTTAGACTGGATATCAGAAAACTTCTTCGCTGTTAGAACAGTGAGGCAGTGGAATAGACTGCCTAGGGAAGTGGTACACTCTCCATCACTGGAGGTGTTCTTGCTTTACCTGTGGCAGGCTAGGGTGTTAGGTCTGTCTATCAGGGTTGATGGTAGTTTTATGCAGGGTTTAGATTACGGATTGTATAGAATGGTTTGGATAGGGATGATCCTGCCTTAAGCAGGGGGTAGGACTAGATGACCTCTGGCGGTCCCTTCCAGCTCTACTTCTCTATGATTCTATGACATGGCAAATATCAGGTTATATTTTCCAATTCCCCCTACCAAGAAGCTGTCGGTCAGAATTCTCTTTACCATCATCCAACATACTGAAGTGCCTGAACTTGAGCCCTAAAACTAGTCCTTCACTACAAAATATTGCTACTTTCATCAATGAAAGGAAGACACTGGAAAAGAAGTGCCTGAAACATGCTTATCTTTTGCTCTTCCATGGTTCTCACTGCTGGGCACCAGAAGATAACTAGTTGCTGTCATTGGGGAATCAAGCTACAGAAAAAAAAACTTTGGGAAGATACACATGGATTTGTACTTGCAACAGACTATACACAAGATGTCTCAAGCATGAACCTCCTATATGCTTTTGTTCCTTAATTTACAATAAGTGCTACTATAAAGGTGCATCTGTCCTGCAACTACTACAGAACCCACTTTAATCACCACACTATGGTAGACAGATGCCTGATTATAAACACTATCTAACTTGTTACAACCAGCACAAAGTAGTATCCTGAATGATATTCCCTCCTCCCATCATTAAATGCACACAATTTATATTATATATTAGAAGCAAAATGGTTTCCTTAGAAGTCGTAAGAAACCAGGAAAATTAAAACTATGAATAAAAGGAGGAATCGGAAAAAACTTACTTTAAACTAATCTGTTCGTATCTGCACACAACGGCATGACATATTCATCTCAGCTGTATTGTAACAAACACGTTGAGAGACAACCTTGTGGTGACCAGCCTAACACATTAACTGAACCCAGCTTAAATTGACTTATTCTGCCATTAACTAAAGCTTAGAGTTTTTGGAACATACTGAATCCATAATTGTGAAATCCTAATTAAGCAGGCACACTTTTACTCAAGTGGTTTAGTAAATTCTTGCATGTTCTTTGAGTCGTTCTTTGGTTAAATTTCCCTTCGCTTAAATTTATCTACACCCTATTCATCATGGTTCGAGCAAAAACAGTTTTAAACAATTGCAGCATTTCATACCTTTCTCCATCTCCACCCCTCCCCTCCAGATTCAGCTTCTAGGGGGAGGAGGGCAGGGGGGAGTTAAGAAGAACATTTACATGCATGAAAGGGGGACACCCTTTCATGTAAAGTTCCATCTTATCTGTCATCAGCTGAAAAGCTTTAAAGAAATCACCCAAAAAGGAGAGCAGAATGAGGGTTGCCCCTTGGCTTCTAATACATACAGAAGACCAGAAAAAAATATCCTAAATAAACACTATGGCTGCTTACAGATGTGGGGGGAGAGGGAATGTGGGAAATCACTAGTACTTTACTTTCATCTCCTGTGCCCCCGCACCGAGTGCAGCACATGTCCAAAAGAAGCATCACGTTACTTTGACCCACCTCACCCAATGCCTGTACAGATTATGTGCTTCACCAGGGCTTTTTGGTGCTTTTATCTAATAGCTGATTGAATCAGCTTTAGAAAAAAAAAGTGTCAAAAAGCCCTGCTGAAGTGTCCAATCTATACAGGTGCTGGTGAGCTGGGTCAAACTAAAGCGTTTCCTCTTCCGGTAAAGTGCTGGGTTTGGAGTTTTTTTCATGCGTGTCAGCAGCCTATGTTATAAAGTAAAGACAGAACAGACTTATGTTTCTAAAGACAACGTTCAGAAAATGACACTTCCCTATACACAGTCATTATGATATGGTTAACACAGCACAGTATAAAAAAAGATAGAGTAAATTTGCATAAATATCTTAACTTTAAACACCTGACTTTTTAATGGTGTTATCATCATACATAGTTATCATAATTAGCGGCAAAACTATCCATCCTATAAATCAGCATGACAAACAGTTGAGTTGTGTTAGCATTTCCAAAAATATGTTAATAACCATAGTTTTTCCTTATGGCTTCTAGCCAGAATGAATAGCATAAATTAAAACGGACTTTTTCACTCTTTTTCATTAGCCTTTTTAGGGATTTTTACATATGTATTTCCAAGCACTGACCAGTTTCTTTCAGAAACTGAAGATAGAAGATTCTGAAATAGATGAGGAGTCAGATGTTGCACTGTAAAAAGTCCTTGCCAACATGTTATAGAAACACAAGAGTTGGCAGATTCCCAAACTGAACTCCTGAACCAAATACAAGAAGACGGTCTGGTGTTAAGCAACATTTGAAAGTACTTTTCCAACATCTAGCCCTAAATGTGGGGTTTGTTTAGTAATCCAGTCAAATGCTGTAACAATCCTATCCATTACTAACAATACCACCTTTGAACCCTGGATTCACTAAATCTGAATTAG